AAGCAGCGTTAGATAACTAAGACAGGACTTGATACCCATAGTTGTCCAATTGTTGGGACCTGCACAATGTGGAGGCCATAATAGGGTCCATGGGCTGTGAGAGAAGGTGGAAGGAAAAATGATCAAAAAGGACGCAGCAAAGCAGAGCACAGCTTCCAGAACGCACCTACCATATCCTCTGAGTCACTAGTCATTCTGGAGCCAAAATGGAATGAGGAGGTTCTTCTTTGCACAAAATACAAAGTTCTGGGCAGCACCATAATTTTAAATCATATCTTCATAATTTGCTACACATGATACATATGGCAAATGTATTCACATAAGAGGAGAAAGGGAGTGCTGGTGGCCTAACAATAGGGATCTGTGCTGTCAATCCAAAGGCACCTGTTTTGAATCCACCAACTGCTCTGAGGGAGAAAGATGGGCAATCTCCTCCCATATCCTGTGATTTGTATCTCCTGTGATTTACTGCCTCTGAAAACCTGCTGGAGGGCCAGCTATGAGGTGGTTCTGACTTGATGGTACATGACAAGAGCATGAGAAGGGAGGAAAATAGGGTGAAAATCCATCCCATCTGGGGTCTTCCTCTCCTGCTCTGTCCCTCTACTCTTCCATGCATGATGTCCTTCCCCAAGGACTGCTGCCTCCTGGTGAGATGATCAAAGTATATGAGATGGAGCTTCAAAATCCTTGCCACCAAGGAGAAACTTTGTTCCACCGTCTCCAAGACAGGTCTATTTGTTCTCCTGGAGGTCCGTAGTATGTTCAGTACTCTTCTCCAGCATCACAACTCAGAGGCATGAATTCTTCTGTCATCCTTTGTCATTGTCCAGCTCACTGATGCATAATGGCATGTAACTGCAAAGACCATGGCCTGGATCAGGCGTACCTTAGTCTCTAGACTGACACCATTGCTTCTCAGCACTCTGGAAAGGTCCCTGATAGCAAACTTTCCCAGTGCAATTTGTCTTTTGATTTCCTGACTGCTGGCACCAAGATGGTTGATTGTGCAGCCAAGCAAGCCGTAATTGTTAACAATTTTAACCTCTTCTCCATCTATCATGATGCTGCTAATTGGCCCAATGGTGAGAATCTTTGTCTTCTTGATGTTAAAAGACCAAAATTCTGAGTTCAGGATGCAGGATCCAGGGGAGACTTTCTCTCTGTGTTGACTGTGGAGGAAAGTCCTTGTTCCTTGACTGCTGTGTGATCTTCACATGATTTAATATTTATCTTCCCCTGCTGCTACATGCTTCCTTGATTAATTTCTCATCTCTCAAAACACTATTATTAACTCACTAATATGACAAAGAGGATGCTTTCCTAAATGGTATTGTAACCACGGGAATAGAGATTACAATTCACAACACAAACTTAGAAGGAACAGAATTCCTAACAGCCATATTGAGGAGTTTCATCATAAAAATCATGGGTAACCACAGAGCACTTTAAAGCAGAGGCAAACATCTTGCAGTTTTGATTTGCTAGCTGTTAAGGCTACTGCAGCAGTCAAAAAGTGAAATAACATACTGTTAGACCAATCTGCTTCAATTACCTCTTTAAAGTGCAAAAGAGCAAAGATGTCATTGTAAAGATTAAGGTGCATCTGGTCTAAGACTTGGTGTTTTCAATTACTTCGTGTGTATGTGAAAGTTGGGCAATAAATAAGGAAGACAGATGGCAAATTGGTTCCATTTAATTATAGTATTGGTGAAGAGTATTGAAAATGCTATGGATTTCCACAAGAACAAATAAATCATCCATCATCTAGGAAGAACACCCAGAGTGTTGTTCGATGCAAGGATGGTAAGATTTTGTCTCAACTACTTTGGGCATGTTATTCAGAAAGGCCAGTCCTCAGAAAAGGATAACACGCTTGGAAAAGTAGAGGTTCCGCAAAAAAGAAAAATCTATTTGGTGAGATGGGTTGGCATGGTGACAGCAACAATGGCCTTTTTAAGCCCAGCATCGACTGTGAGCTTGGAGCAGGATGGGGCGTGGTTTCCTTTTGCTGTACAGAGTCCCTGTGCGTCAGAGCCTACGCAATGGCATCTAAGAAGAGCAACTCCACAGGCCACTGCTGTGGCTCAGGTAACGCTCAGAAAGAGGGCTTCAGTGAACTGGAAAGTAACCTCGGGCGGCCCTGTCCAACAGGATTTGCGGTGATGATAGGAATACTCGGTACCTGTGCTGTCTCCCACAGCAGCCACTGGCCTTGTGTCACTGTTTACTCCTTGAGAGGTGACCAGTGAGATCTAGGACCTAAAATTTTAACTACATTTCAATTAATTTTTAAAAAGAAAACGCTTTTAATCAGGAAATAAAAGAGCAGGTCCACGAATGTATAACACAGGACTAAGAAGTGTCCAATACATGAGACTCCACTTCCACACTTGACAGGTAATCAGAAGCCCTCAGCATACTTTATAACAAGTATAAAAATTATACATAATTAAACACTATAGTAATTATAATATTTATATAATAATATGTTCTCTTTTTATTGAGCTACTCTGATCGGGTTCCTGTTACTACCACATCCCCCCAAATATGCGTTCTTATCTCTTGTTATTGTGTTTCATCAAATCGATTCTGACTCGTAGCAATGAGTCTGATTAAGACAGAGTAGAGGGGAGCTCTGGTGGCCTAATGGCAAGAAGCTGAACTGCAATCCCAGAGGCTCATGGTTCAAATCCACCAGATGCTCTGCCGGGGAAGGAGGGGCAATCTCCTCCTGTACCAGTCAGATCTGATTTGACGGTACACGCACACACAAATAATAAAGTAAAATTAAAAAAAAAAAGAAGACAGAGTAGAACTCCCCTACAGGGTTTTCTAGGCTACAGTCTTTATAAGAGTAGATTACCAGGATTTTCCCTCCCATAGATTTGAACAATGGATTTGAATGGATTTGTGAATGGATGCGAACTATTGATCTTGCTGTGCACTTAACCACTGAACCACCACAGCCTTATTCTCATCATGTTGCTTGTTGTTATGTGCCATCAAATTGCCTGCATCTCCTAGCATCACTATGTACGGCTCTGAAGCCTGCCCTATCCTGAGCCAGTCTAACTCCACACATCCACCTCCATTGCCCCATTGCCCCTGTCTCTGTCTCAACACACTTCATCCAGGGTCTTCCTCTCCTGCACCATCCCTCCACCCTTCCAAGCATGATGTCCTTCTCCAAAGATTGGTCCCTCCTAGCCACATGCCAAAATTATGTGAGACAGAGCTTCAAAATCCTAGCCTTTAAGGAGAAACTTGGTTTTACTCTCTCCAAGTCAGACTTACTTGTTTTCTTGACAGTCCATGCTATTTTCAAGAGTCTTCTCCAGCACCACAACTCAGAGGCATTCATTCATCTCCTGTCATCCTTAGTCATTATCCAGCTCTCTGATGCCTAGCAAGTAATTGCAAAGACCATGGCCAGGATCAGGCGCATCTGAGTTTCTAGACGGACATCATTGCTTCTCAGTACTCTGGAAAGGACCCTGAGAGCAAATTTACCTAATGCAATTCACCTTTTGATTTCCTGACCGCTGATGCCAAGAATGTTGATTGTGGAGCCAAGCAAGCTATAACTGTACAACCTCAGTCTCTACTCCATCCATCATGGTGCTGCCAACTGGCCCAATGGTGAGAATCTTTGTCTTGATATTGAGCTTCAATATTGAAGACTACAGTCCTTGACCTTCTGCAGCAAGCCAGATGTTTCCAATTCAGAAGACAAACACACCTTTTCATTATATTCGTAATCTACCATGGTGTGAGTACTTAAGATCTCACAATACCCCCCATTCCCTAAGTTAACCAGGAGATCCAGAATTCTGTGTCTTGGATTTCAACATAGAGAGAGAGATCAGCTGGCCCAGTGGACAGAAAGCGATGCTACTAAGCCAAAGGTGGGTGACTTTTAATCCGCGGCCCTCTGGCCTGTCTTTCAAATTTTTTGCTCAGACATTCCACTAGGTTGTATAGCCCTGGTGTACAAGTTGCCGTGCAGCGGTAACTTGTGGTTGCTGTGAGGCTGAACACTGTGACACAGATGTGTCAAATACATTAATGGTTGGTTACCCAATGCAGACAGAGAGTGGGGTGGAGCTCCCCGATTAAAATAAGCTTGGAAGGAGGAGTGGCATCCACTTCCATAATAGCTTGCCTCCAGAAACCCTATGAAACTGGTGAGAGGATGAAAGACCCAAGCGTCGAGGACTCTCCTTCATAGGTCACTATGAGTCGCCTGCGACTCGACGGCACTTAACAACAACAACTTGGATTTCAAAGTCAAGGCCATAGGGTCTTGTTGCCTTCAGCCAGGACTTAAAAGCCTCTCTCATCTTCAGGGGTTAGCCTTGGCTCAGACACACTTTTCCAGTTTGTGCAGAAGCGCCCCGCATCTGCTTTCCTTAGAGGTAGAAGACTTCTCTCCAGCAAGGAGCCAAATCAGATTTCATCCCAGACCATTTCTTCTGTATGCAGAATCACCCTCAAAATGGTCTATCTTCATAGAACTCATCTCTTAAAGTGAATTACACCTGAAAGAAAGCTGCCCATTTGGGACAAGAGTGCTCAGATAGGCCTCAGATGCTGAAAGCTGTATTGAGGGAATAAGTAGGAGATGTAGGTGATGACTTGGTCATCCCCTTGGAAACCAATCAGGAAGGAGATGAAGGGAGTTGGATTTGGTCAACTGGAAAGGAGCGCAGTTACTCTTTCTACCACAAGGGGGAGCTTATGTGCTTGCTCAGCCAAGAGGGTTGTTAGGGGCCACTGGTATACGGCTCCTCTTTTTTTAATTTTATTTTATTTTATTATTTTGTGTGTGTGTGAGTGTACCGTCAAATCAGATCTGACTGGTACAGGAGGAGATTTTCCCTCCTTCCCCAGCAGAGCATCTGGTGGATTCGAACCATGCGCCTCTGGGATTGTAGTTGCAGCTCCTTACCACACTAGTCCACCAGAGCTCCTAGACAGCTCCTCTTAACGACCTTCAGGACGACAGATCTGAACCTCGCCTTGTACTACACCATCTTCAAGGTCTCGGTCACGCTCAAGCCCATTGCTGCAGTCACTGTGTTAATCCATCTCGGTGAGAGTCTCCTTATCTTTCTCTGACTCTCTATATTTTTCCCAGCATGCTTTCTTTTTCCAAGGACTGCTCTGATGAGACAAAGTTTCATCATTCTTGCCTCTAAGGAGCGCTCTGGTTGCACTTGCTCAGCACAGGATTGTTTGTTCTTCTTGTAGTCCACCGTACTTCTAAACTGCGGCTCTCGGGCCTGTCTTTCATTGTTTTTGTTCAGACATTCCTCTGAATGGTCGTATAACCCTGGTGTACAAATCGCTGAACAGCGGTCACTTGTGGTTACTGTGAGGCTGAACACTGTGACACGGATGTGTCAAATGTGTTAATGGTTGGCTACCCAATGCGGGCAAACAGTGGGGTGGAGCTCCCAATTAAAACAAGCTTGGAAGGAGGAGTGGCATCCACTTCCATAATAGCTTGCCTCCAGAAACCTAGGAACCTGGAGAGAGGATGAGAGACACCTAAGCATAGGGTCGCTGTGAGTTGTTTGCGACTCAACGGCACTGAACAACAATGGTCCATGGTGCATGAAAATCAGAAATTCAGTTTCTGGTAAAGTACAGTTAACCCCACCCCACCCATTTGAGTGGTTTTTTAACAAACAACCAACCCCTCACCTGTGGTAAATCCCACCCTGATTGCTCAATTGCCATAAAGTGGAATTCTTCTCTGTAAGAGCACAAGGAGTTTTCCATATTCCTGTATCTGAAGTAACCTATAAGATTCAAATAGGTTTCCAAACTGTTACCTTGAGCTATGGCTAGCCAATTGAAGGTGGACAAATACCCAGACTACTGTGGATGGCCAATCATGGCGTGTACGGTTGGGCAGGGGAGTAGCAGAGGTATAAAAGGAGGGGCAGACATCAATTCAGGGCTCTCGGGTGGATGCTGCTGTGTCAGCACGCAGGAGCCCAGGTTCCAACTCGACATAAACTTTGTTAATTCGGCTAATTGGCTCAGTGATCTTTTTGGGGACTCGCTCCGTTACATTTGGAGGCCCCAGCGAGATCTCCCTAAATTCATCTAAACCCTGATCACCGGCCAACGGAGTAACCGTGACGTCTCTGTAGGATTCTTCCTACCTGGTAAGTCAGGTCTGATAACTGGTTAATCTGTATTCTGTTTGCACCCCGGTTTTGAATTGGACAGTTGGAAGGCAGGACGCTGCATAACTTCCAGTCCAAGACCGCGGCAGTGACGACTGCCAAGGTCCAGGTGACTGAGGAAGTGGGGGCTTGCCTGGATTCAGCTTGTGTGGAAGTCTGGGTTCTCGGGTGGATGCCACTGACACGAGAGAGCCCAGGTTTGTCCCACAAGTTCGGAATTAGCTTGCGCTGGTCTGGTGACCCACAAGTTCGGAATCCCAGGGGAGAGAGGCCCATGCCTCAGACGTTCGGCGGGTGGGAGGTAAGAGAAACCCACCCCTCGAACCAGGTCTGTCAGTCAGGACTCAGGTTCTGCCATGGTTTTTGTCGACAACAGTGTTCGTTTGTCTGCTGCTTGGGAGAGGCTGTTCTTCAGACTCAGGTTTTGTCATGGTCTTTGTTGTCAACAGTGTCTCTTGCTATTTTTGTGAATTTGTGTTTGTCAATGGTCTTTCTGTCGACAGTGTCTTTCTATTTCTGTGGATTTGTGTGGCTCTTTCTCTACTCAGTTCTGGAACAAACAGTGCTAGCGAAACAGGTGCAAGCGAAAAATGGAAGCGGGACAGTCAAGGATGTAAAGACCGTCCCCTTTGGAGTGTTTGGTAACTAACTTTTCAGACTTCCCTTTCAGGGCGGCCGGATACGGCATGCAAGTAGATCCTTCCACTCTAAGGAAGTTCTGTGAACTAGAGTGGCCCACTTTTAATGTCGAGTGGCCCGAGTGGCCGGCAGAGGGGACCCTTGAAATGGGCCCCACAATTGGAGTTTGAGCCATAGCGTATGGCCTCCCGGGATACCCAGATCAAATTCCTTACATAGATGTGGATCTCCTTGTAAATTAGTACAAAGAGTGAATTATGCTATTTTTTAGCTTTAAGGGTCTGATAAAAGTATTAATATTATTACTGACATTATACAGTAGTTAAAAATTGCAGTTATTAAACTATGGCATTTTGGTTGGTATATCATTTTGAGGATAGAGTTGAAAGTTTTGACATGGTATGGAGTTCAAGGGGAAAAGCAGAATAACTGGTAGTAAGTTTTGTGCATTTTTTGTTTAAGAGTTAAAATGAAAGTAATTTTGTCTTGAAATAGAATGGTTATGCCAGAATATGAAAGATAGTAAAAGCTAAATTAAGGATGTATAGTAAGTTGTAAAAGGTTTAGAGGAAAGTGAATTTTAGTGTATGTATTTGGGAATAAGGATGGAGAACTGTGTTAAATCTCAAAAATGTCAAATTCAATGCTATATCAGGAAATGAGGGAGGCTTAATGCAAGCTGAAGGTCACCTTGTGGCACTAAAGCATTCCCTAGGAGTCAACATTGTTCTTGGTTTGTATCAACTGAATCCCTCTCTACTGAGATTAGCATAAAGAAGAACTTGTCCTTTTCTGCGAAAGAGTTCACATTACCCTTTATTTTTGTTTTGTACTTCTTTATGATTTTACTTTGTTTATCTCCCTTGTTATTCTCAGTAAATACTCAGAGAAGCATGGCTTGGGGCCTTTATCATGGGAGCTGTTGGCCCCCTGTTTTTCACACTGACTGTGCTATATCAAAATATTAATTAAATTAAGCCATGTTTAGAACCGACTGAGTTGGACCCCTATATTCCAATTGGAAATAATGATCCTAATTCTAGGGGAGAATTAACTATGGAGACTTATCAGGCTTTGAAGGAAGTTCAGGATTTTATCTCTTCCTGTTCTCTCTTGTATAAATCATAGTAGGAAGTTATTGCTGTGCATTTTAGATACTAGAAGTACTCCTACTGCTGTATTCTGACAGAATGCTCTTTTAAGATAAATTCATTTATCCTGTTCATGTAAAAGGTTTTGCAGACTTGTCCACAGGCTGTATCTCGATTAATAGCACAGTCAGGAAAGACAATATTTTTTATATAAGACCTTATAAAATCATTGTCCGTTATAATGCTTTACTAGTTAATTGGCTATATCAATATTGTTCAGAATGGATAATTGCATTAGCCAATTATCCTGGTTAAGTTACTCATTGTTATCCAAAACATAAATTATTTCCTAAAGTTTTGTTAACAATTTCTGATGTTCTTGTAAAATGTGAATCTTGTCTTCCTTTTCAGTCAGTTCCTCAGTATGAAGTAAATCCTCATGGTTTACTTCCTAATCATATTTGGCGAGTGGATGTTATCCATCCTAGGTCCGCTTAAATGTATAAAAACTGACAATGCCCCTGGATACACAAGCAATAATGTTCATTTTAAATTCCTTAATTTTAAGCCAAGGTGGCCGCTCTGCGGCAGACAGGCAATGGACAAATAAACCTGTCAAGTATGCAGAGGTAAAATGGAAAGATCTAATGAATAACAAATGGATGGGGCCTGATCCAGTTCTGGTCTGGGGTGAAGGTCATGTTTGTGTTTTTCCACAGAATGAACAAGCTCCTTGTTGGCTGCCTGAGCGTCTTGTGCAGCACTGATCTGGTGATGATGGAAGAGACCTATTGGGCATATGTACCAGATCCTCCTCTCCTGCACCTGGCAACATGGAATGAGACTCTCATACCTGTTTATGTTAACAATACTTATGTTTTAGAATATCCCTCTAATAGTCATATAAAATGGGAAGAAAGACCATGCAATTATTCTGGGTATGCTTCAGGATATCCTATCTGTTCTACCAAAAGCATACCAAAAAACGGGTGTTTATTGGTTAATAAGATGCAAAGAGTATCTTCAGACAGTAGAAGCCCATCATGGACTGTACAATTGAATTATTTGGCTTCTGACGAACGAGCTTCTGGATATGGTGCAGGTAGAATTAACACCATCTTTCCAGCAGACACCAACTTTCCCTCATGTTTTGAGAAAGTTCGTCCTGGCATCAGGCAACCACTTTGGAGAAAATGTCATCATAACAGCGCTGTGGCCATTCTCTTGTCTAACATTAGTACTGGTAATGTAATTTTTAAAGGACCAATGGTTGGAATGCTACCTCACTTGGAGACTGGTCACCTCTTCATACATATGGTCCCAGACTTTCTATGAAAGGATTTGTGGGAGGAATGTGGACTATTGATATGAAGAACTTTCAAACTGAATTGTGGAAATTAGTTGCTAGCATGGATTCGATAAATATTTCCTGTATCCCAAAAGATAAATTTAAGGGAGATAATGTCACAAATGCCAAAGTTATGTCTTGTGTACCTGAACCATATGTCTTATTAATTGGTAATAATGTGCTCACTGGTGATTATCCAAAATATAATGTAAGTTGTTCTCATTGTAAAATCTCTAACTGTATTAGCTCTATTACCAAGGATGATTCAGTACTTATTTTGAAGAATCCTCCTTTTGTTATGACACCGGTAAAGTTAGATGATATTTGGTACGATGATAAAAGCTTGCAAATTTTAAAAGAGATATATAAGTTGTCACCTAGAGCCAAAAGAGCTATAGGTCTTGTTATTGTAGGAATTGTTTCTCTTACCTCTATGATTGCTACTGTCTCTACTTCTGCTGTAGCTTTGACTCAAGAAGTTCAAACTGCTAAGTTTGTAAATGGGTTAATGCATAATGTGACAAAAAATTGGGTAGAGCAAGAAAATGTAGATGAAGTTATGGAACAGAAATTAAATGCTTTATATGATACGGTAAATGTATTAGGAAACATGGTGCAACAAAATAGAATGAAAGAAAAGTTAAGATGCCATGCGGAATATGATTCTATTTGTGTTACTAAATTGAAATATAATAGCTCAGATAATGATTGGACAAAAACAGTATCTCATTTAAAAGGAGTTTGGATGTCTAATAATGATTCTCTTGATTTGTATGATTTGCACCAAAGAATTCCATAAATGCAGAATACCCCAGAT